TGTAATGGTGAATTCTCTGACCAAGAGGTCTGCAAATATCTCCAAGTTTAGAGAGAAAGGGATTTTCTTTTACAGGGAGGAGTAAATGAGGCTAGAAAGAATTGGGTGTGGGGAAAGTAAGATGACCATACAGTAAAGTAGATACTAGAGAATGTTTTACCAGACATCAGCCTATTTTATTAGGGAACTAAAGAAGAGGTTGTATGAGGTGTTGGTGTAATGGGGGATCGGGGTAAGCAGGGGTTGGGGGTCAGTCTAAAGGGATCAAGGAAAGAGAAAATTTAACCCATTAAGTCTACTGAGTCACCAAGTTTTTTAAAAGTTTGGCTAATCAAAAATTGATTTGATTTTATCAATCATTAGTGATAAAACAATTCACCTAATCACTCATAAAATACAGAATAGAAATGTATTTGGCTTCCTTATAGATAAACCACGGACCACTCTGAGTCTTATATAAGTCATGGTAGGAAGGCTGAATTCTTCGCAGTCATTGATTTCTCTGAACAAAGAAGGGTAGGAGGACTCCTAATTATCACTGTTTTCAAGGAATACAAGGCACAGGTAAAATTTACTAGTTAGCTCTAAGAGGAAATTTTGCCTGAATCCAAGTTTGATATTTTACAGGAAATGTAATTAATAAACATGCTATTTTTAAAATTAATTTTTTTTATTTTATATATGACAACAGAATGGATTACAATTCTTATTACATACATAGAGCACAAGAGATTTTTTATATCTCTGGTTGTATACAAAGTATATTCACACGAATTTATGTCTTCATACATGTACTATGGATAATAATGTCCATCACATTCCATCATCATTTCTAACCCCATGATCCCTCCCTTCCCCTCCCACCCCTCTGCCCTATCTAGAGTTCGTCTATTTGTCCCATGCTCCCTCTCCCTACCCCAATGTGAATCAGTCTCCTTATATCAGAGAAAACATTCAGCATTTGTTTTTTGGGGATTGGCTAACTTCATTTAACATTATCTTTTTCTAACTCCATCGGTTTACCTGAAAATGCCAGGATTAATTATATATTCTTTGCTTTGTGTCCAGGTATTCTTTTAGAGATACCAAAATTATGTGTTTTTGAGTCAGATAATAAATTACTCAGTGATTATAAAATTATAAAATATAGGCCCCATCCCCAGTCCCAACCCCCCAAAATAGCCTAGGTTCCTTTGAATTAAGCTTTATAAAACTAAGGGATACTTCCAAAAATAATTATCATGCAAAATCAATGATAAGGGAAAGAAAAGATATAGAAGAACTTTCTATGTATTTTGGAAATTGTCCCTTTTCAGATATTTGGATTGCAAATATTTTCTCTCACTGTGGTGGTGACCTTCTTGTTTTGCTGATTTTACTTTTGTGCTACATAAATTTTATAGCTTGCAGTACTCCCATTTAGATATTTTTGTTTCTGTTGCCTGTGCCTTTGTTATCATACTAAAGAAAGCTTCCCCAAAACCAAGGTCAAGACATTTACTTCTATGTGTTTTTCTAGATTTTGTGGTTTCAGACCTTATATTAAATTATTTAAATTCATATTTAGTTACTTTTTGTATAGGGCAACATCCCCTGACCCCTGCCAAAATGGCCATAGGACTTGACTAGACATTTCTCAAAAGAATACATGCAAATGGACAACAGGTATGTGAAAGTGCTCAACATGTTTAATTATCATGAAAATACAAACCAAAACCACAATAAGATATCACCTTACAACTATTAGGATGGATGTTACCAAAAGAGACAAAAGAAACGTTTTGGTAAGGTTTTGGAGAAAAATGGACCAATTACACACTGAAATATCAGGCCATGTAAGCACAATGGAAAACAGAATGGAGGTTCCCCCAAATTAGAAAATATAATTACCATATGATCTAACACCTCACTTCTAGGTATATATCTAAAAAAACTGAAATCAGGATGTTGAAAAAATATCTACATGCCCTCGTTCATTGCAGTGTTATTTACAATAACTTCATTATAGGATCAACAAATGCATCCACAGAAAGATGAGTGGGTAAAATAATGTGATATATACATAAAATATATTGAATGAATTTATAAATGAATAAATAAAATCTTTCCACTTAACTCTTACCTGAGTTTTCCTGTAATTTTGTTATATAACTGTATACCCAACTTAATTGTTTTACATTATTTTTTATTTCTGAACATATAGACTTACATATGGATATTTTTTCCTAAAGAAATTGAAGGAGAGGAGATGGAGAATTAAAGATTTTTTTAAAAAATTATGACTATATTGTTTTTATTATGTGTACTCTAAGTAATTCAAACTGAATAATAAGAAAAATCACAAAAATGTTTAAGTCATACCACCTGAACCTAAGCATTATTAACATTGTGTAAACATCTTCATAGACATCTGTTTTGATTTGTTTCTGAAGATATAAATATTATAGATTAGATAGAGACCATTTCACATTATCTCTCTTTAAATATGTTTACACATATTTATATATGCATATCCACATAGATATGTATGTATATATGAAATAAATGCATGCATACATAATAAAATTATATATATGCAATATATGTAATGAAGATAGATGTAAAAAATGCTTAATAAATAAATATCAATAATAGGTTGAAGATAGGATTTTACAAAATGTGCTTTTATAAAAAAGTATTAAGTTGGACCTGTGGCACACACCTGTAATCCCAGCAGCTGGGGAGGCTGAGTCAGTAGGATCACAAATTCAAGGCCAGCCTCAACAATAGCAAGGCACTTAGCAACTCAGTGAGACCCTGTGTCTAAATAAAATACAAAATAGGGCTGGGGATGTGGCTCTTTGGTTGAGTGCCTCCGAGTTCAATCCCAGGTACAAAAAAAAAAAAAAAAGTATTAAATTCAGGTTTCCATAAGAAAAAACTTTAGGAAGAATTTGAATTAGGATACATTCTTTTTATCATAAGATATATTTCATCTCAAAAGTTCCAAGAAAATAATGTTCAGGAAGAAGGCATTATTGCATGTTTTAAATGTTATCATTTATTTTAGACTTCATTGACTTATAATTCTCTGAAATCTTAAAGGAATTAGCACAGCAATTTTTCATTCTACAACTAATTTTTTCTTAATGTGATTCTGCAGTATTGCACTGAAACACAGTTGAAAATACAGACTTAACAGAAGTGTTTCTTCATTGTAGCACAGCATACAGTTAATCCATACATACATGAGGAATTTCCTCCAACAATATCAAATAATGCCAAAAGGATCTGCAGAAGATATAAATTGTTAAACTAAAGGAATGGGACAGCTAGCCCACATTCTACAATTTTTTTTTTAAATAGTGTACTCACATTTGTTTGATTTTGATTTGTGATTCAGTTGTACCAGTAATATGCTTTACTAATAGTTTTACAAATTAATTAAATATTTTTAATTAGATTCAAGGAAGAAACCTGTTAATGCAAATACTAGAACCAAATTTCTAGCTACAATCATAATATCAATAATTATAATTTGTAAAACCCTTTCTATCTGGAAAAAAATGTGTAAAGATTTGTGTAAAATCACTAAATGCACACAAAACTTCATATAAGGAATGATGTTTTCATTTTGTATTTAAGGAAACTGAGACTTTAAGAGCTTACAATTATTTTTCTAAGATGATGTCATTGATGTGTAAAAGGTGAAAACTGAATCCAAGCTTTGTGCTCTTCAATGCTATGTTACTACTGTTTGCATCTTGATTCTTCTCAAGAATCTCATCAGAAACAATTCTGTAAGATGAAGAAACCATGAGTGTGGGATGGTGAGAGAAAAGGAGAATGAACAACCTTCAACTGAACTCATCTATAAAATTTGAAAACAAATGGACAGAGCATTTCACTACCATTGGCAGCGTCCCCTGGCATACAATTGCATAGCCATTTCCTCCAAAGTTTAATATCCTGATTGTTCTTGTAATAAGGACAAACCAAGCACATGCTAAACTCTTAAGGCAATTTATTTTTAACAGAGCAGAAAGTAGGTCAATTTGATATCTTAAGCAAAAGTTATTTCCAGATGTGTTAGAGTATTTTAGAATATATTATCTACCCAAGAAAATATTTCACAGTTGGACTCCACAAGAAACATTGAATGTATAGGCAATGTAAACATATTTGTCACATACAGTTAAACACTGAACATTGAAATGTTCATAAATAATTAGTGTTCATTCCAGTATTAATCTACAAGAAATTGCCATATGTAGAAAAATAGAAAACAAATATTTATATGGTAGTAAATTGTATTTTCAATTAAAATCAAGTTACACAATTGGAAGAATTGCAATTTTCAGAAAATTACCCATTAGTTAATATTATATCTGCTTTTTCTATTATTATTCTGATATGACATGGTATATTTCTTAGCTGATTGTGTTCACCTAAATAGCTTCTGATATTTGCATGAAATATTTTTATCTTAACCTTGTAAACTTACCATGCAAAATATGTCAACATTTTCTCATTGCTATAATGCCCTCAGGAACTTTTTTTAAAAAATCAGGTATTCTAATCCTATACCTTAGCATGTAGCTCTTCCAGGTATTTCAGACATAGGTGGGAGGTGTAATTTATGACACTGACTCAAAGACCCCCTTGGCTCCTTTAAAGCATAGACAGCTTTATTTGTACAACATATCAGCCTTTCCCATGAGCCACATAAAAGCTTAAATGGTATCATAAATTAAAAAATCTAGACTTAAATAGAACATGGTTGATGACCTTTTTCTACCTTATTTGACTTCCAGCATCACTGGGAGTTAAATGCTGAAATAAAAAATGTCTTTTATTTTGTTGTTATTCTTTCCTTCAAAGGTTCATGTTCAGTAAACATTAGCAAAAACCAGGCTGCCATCATTTTTTTATTTCCTAAATGTCATTTCAAGTTGAGGGTGATTTTTTTCCCCCTAGTAAACCCATCGTAATGTCATGTTTTTACTTTGTTTGATTTATAGGATTTTGGATCGCTATGTTCAGGATCAAATTCCTGGTGCCAAGGTGGTGGTAGAATCCATTGGTGCTCGCCGGCACGGGGATGCCTTTTCTTTAGAAGATTACAGCAAATGTGACCTGACTGTCTATGCAATTGATCCCCAAACCAACAGAGCCATTGACAGAAATGAACTTTTTAAGTAAGTATATTTTATTATCATTTTTCATCATCATTCTGGTTATGATAGCATTCCTGGGTAATTGTAATTTAATTATAAGTACTTAAAGTTTAAAACACACCAAAATGTTGTTGCAAGTGAAGTGCAAGTAATAAATCACAGAGAAAATCTAGGTTCCTCACCACTAAGTTTTCAAGTCCTAGTATGAGCTACAGTGACTTCAGAATATATGGGTAACAAAGGATCTGTTATATGCAAGAAATAACTCTTTGAGGTCACTTTAGGACTGGGTACATAAACTCAATGGTAGAGTGCTTGCCTAGAGTGTTTGAGGCAATGGGGTTGATCCTCAGAATACAGAAAAGAAGAAAAAAAAAAAAAAGAAGAAAGAAAAAGAAAAGAGAGAGAGACAGACAGACAGACAGACAGCGCACATTCCCTTCATGTTAGGGCCTCACTCTTGCTCTAAGACCGTGCCTGTTTGAGAGGAAAATACAGATTCCTAAAGCAGCAGTTTCCCTGCAACAATTTCAGTAGACTTGACTGTTAAGAAGAAATCTAGCTTTCTAAGAAGTCTGTTGAGTCAACAATTCAAAAATCATGTCTATAGTACATATTTTTTCCCCCTTGATTTGGGGGTGGAGAACAGAGGAAAAAAATCACACCCATTTAAGACTGTACCTATGTGTATTTCATCCCGGTGTAACCTTAGAGTGAACTTGAAAATTTGAGTTAAATATCCTTAAAAAATGGAGGTCAGAATCTAATAAAATGCTGCTGCGTATTCTCCATTAGATGTTATTCTAGCAGTTGAATCTTAAAAAAACAAAAAAAAAACTATCTTTTTCTGCTTTACTCTAGTGACACCTAGTGTCTAACAGATTCTTGGACTATAATTCAATGTAAACATTTTTAATTTAAAATATATGTTGAATATGAGATCATATGCATATATTCAAAATATTTATTTGTGTATTTACGCAAACTTACACAAAATTTATTCCCAAAGTCATGGTTTCAGAATTTAAATTTGTCTATACATACCAACCAGCTTAGAAACATATTCATGTTCAAATTTACATGTATCATGTATGTCTACATACATTTGTTTATTTAGAAAGTACCTACTTATTCATTTTTACTAAAATCCATAAACTCTCAATTTAGTTTAGTTTTAAGTCTGTTCATCAACAACAATTCTTTGCTTCTATTTTAGCAAGAACATAATGATTTATAATTTTAACAAGCCATTGTTATTAAGTTTGTTATTTAACAATTTATTTTAAGAGATTTTAATGCAAGTCAGTACACTTATCACTGTGTGGAAATATAGATGACTGAAGTGGTAACTCCCTCAGGCTATATAATCACTCTCCAAATGAAGTAACATTTAGACCTACAAACCCAATTTTGTGCATTTTATTATTTTAAAAATTTATGTAGGGCTAAATTACAGAAAGTCTTTCTGTTGTAAATATTAGAATTTTTCTTCTTTTAAAAAATATTCATCCTTTTTCTGTATTTTCTATGTAAACTTCTTTTATCTTAAAATTTGATAATAGATTGAGTTTAGAATGATTTTCCTAAGTGTAAAAATGTCTATTTTTTGGGACATATGCCTGGTTTTAAAAAGAAAAATAATAGTAATTATAATTTGAATTATACTGTCAAACATATTAGGGATACAATATTTGGAAAAAACAGTAGAGAATACTGATGAATTTTAAAAACATAGTTTATGCTGAGAAGAGGGTAAGTTGCCATGAATTATTAAAATTTAGCCTTACCAGTTTTTATCTTGAACCACTATCTGAGAAGTACTGGTCTCATTTAACATTTTAATTGTTCCTTGAAATACTTTACAATAAAATTTTACACACACACATGTATTCCAAGGCTCATAATGTACACGTTTCATCATTAATAATAATTAATAATAAAAGTTATTGAAAATTTAGTTTTTAACACTGGAAAAGTATACCAGAATATTAAATTGTTATCTAATCTCCAGGGCAGTGGATATAGGGTTATTCCACTTTCTCCTGAATTCTATTGTCTATTCTTCAGAGTAGTATCCAAGTTCCTTTCTGGTATTTCCAATATCTAGGTTATCTGTGTCTGGTTCTCTTTTCTTTCTTACTTGACTAGTGTGCTTCTTTTCTTTTATAGTCTATTTGTGTTTTATTTGGTTGACTACCAGATATGTAAAACAGTAAGAACTAATGGGGAGTTTATGTCAGTACATGCACACATCCCCTTTTCTGTTGAGTAAATCTCTTCAGGAGTTATGTTTTGGAACAGTCATTACTTTCAGTGTGTTACAAAGTTCACATTTTCTCCTGGCGGAATGTGATTGCCACAATCTTAGAATAGGGAATAGTGCTGGGGTGTTCTCATACTCCTTCCTCAACCCTTCCCTGCTAATGATCCCTACAGTCCTCTGCCATGGAGAGGATCCTCCCCTTCCTCTTTTCTCTCTAGCAGTATTATGCTGCTCTTCCATGTGGCTTGGTTCTAATCTTAATCCAAGGATGGGTGTGGGATGGGGGTTCCTTTGATGATCATCTATAAAAACCAGATAGGTTTCAGAAAAGACATCCTCATTGCCTTATGTTGCAGTATGAAAATTTAAGTTAAGAAAATATATACTTTCAAAACCAAAATTGAATTAGCTGGGCCATTGTTTCTTATATTGGAAAACTAATCTGGCAAATTCTTATGTAGCTGTGTTCAGACATTGGGGTGGTGTTTTTCAGATTTTGCCCTCTCCATCTTATGACAGCCACACCTTGCATTGGATACTTTTTTTTGCCAAGTGTGAATCCTTTGTATTTCCCCAACCAGCATGAAACCTCTACTTTGTACTGTTTCAGAGGATACTAGGCCCAGGGGACTACTGTTCCTCTTTTAGGTATAGTCAATTTTGGTTTATGCAAAAATAAAATGTACACCTTCACCTGAACTCTAGGGAAGGGGATAATTTACTCATGTGAGATAATTTCTGGGAAATGGCCTAGTGTTTCTGCCCATGCCACAGCTTTAACTGATTCTTTCTTTCCTGTTCTTGCACCTTGAATGAAATTTTTCTCTTGTCTCTTATCTTGTTCCTAATCTCTCTTGTGTGCATCCATGGAAAAGAGTTTCAGAGGGAGTAAAAATGCCTCTTTATTTGTGGGTTTCTGTTGCTTTAATCTTACAATGAGTATACACATACTAGTTTATCAAAATATTAGCTTATTTTTTCTCATTTGCTTTTATGGCTTTATAAAATACATCTCATTTGCCTGATAAAATTCCAAAGAGCAATAAAACAAAATTCACCATGTTGTAAGAAAAAAAAATGTTTTGACTCAAAAATATTTAACTAGTCAAACTGCTCTAAATGTACAAAAAGTAGATCAGTAGTCTAGATAAGGGTTCAAAGGGGAACACCTGTATGAATAAGAAATCTTCTTACATGGTTTGAACAAGAGTCCAATAAATTGAGATCTGTCAAATCAATTCCATTTGAAAGGGGCAGATTATCCCTGCAAGTAATGATCATCTTCTGGTTCTGATCTTTCCCAGTTTAAAAAATATATTTCTTGTGATTCAATTCTTAATCTATACTTCATTGAGAATATATTTCTTTATCTGATAAAAAATCAAACAAAATGATTAAAACTTTACTAAATTGTTCTACATGTAAAAATCATCTAGGAAAATTGTTGTAAAAGGCTTATTTTTCATCTATAAATACCAGATATGTTTTTAAAAGGCATCTTAATTATATTATATTGCAGTATGAAAATTTAAGTTAAGAAAGTATGTAGCTTTAAAACCAAAATTGAATTATCTGGGCCATTAGGTTTCTTAAATTTTAAGACTAATAAACTAGCTATCAGAATTCATCTGATACCAAGCATCTTGTTTTCATATATGAAAGTTCTGAATGAGGTTTTAAATAAATTTAAAATTTGCATGGCATGCTGAAAATTAGAACAAATAGTTTCAAAAAGGCATAAATACACTGTAAAAGTGCAAAAGCATGACATTTGGCTATTTTAAAATTTAAATTTAAAGAGAAAATTATGTGTGTTCTGGGGAATTGTGGATGTTTTCCTATAATGTTCGGTATGTTGCTTAAATCAAGTTAAACGTACCTATCTTCTTAAACATATCATTTCCTTATAGTGAAAATATTCAGAATCCTTTCTTCAAGCTTTTTGAAATATGAAGTCCATAATATTTATGGTCATCCTACTATGCAAGAGATAATTAGAATATTTTACTTGTGCCTGATGCCAGGGGGCACTCCTATAATCCCAGCCTCTTGGGAGGCTGAGGCAGGAGGATCAAGAGTTCACAGCCAGTCTGAGCAAAAGGAAGATGCTAAGCAACTCAGTGAGACTCTGTCTCTAAATATAACACAAAATAGTGATAGGGGTATGGCTCAGTGGTCAACCTTTCCTCATTTTCTCACCTTTCTGCTCTCCCTAGCCTTTGGTAACTACCATTTTATATTTTGATGATAAAATTTAGAGCCATTTAAAGCTTTTTTTTCCACAAGTCTTTATGTTTTCCATGGTTTTCAACTTAAGGATGGTATTTTTGTATTAGTAAACACAATTTTAAAATATTTTTACTCTTTTATGCTTTATAATCAAAATGTTATAACAACATTTTTAATTAAAAATGATTTTTTAGTATACCTAGATCTTAGCAGTGAGTACAGTTACTTTGCATCACAGAGCCATGTGTAATTTTCCTTTTCTTGAAATATTTCATTTTCTCCAATTTTTAATATTAAAACATTGGACTTTAAATAAAAAATCCTAAAGAATTAAGAATAACTTAAACATCTTGTGGTTCTGTAGTATTAAGAATATAAGTGTACTGATTTTAACATTTATAAAAGACTATAAAGAAGTTACACAGGAATTTTGAAAAATATATACTGCCTACTAATCATAGTATAAAATATATAACCAAATAATAAGATTAAGTGATAATTATTCCTTGATTCTCCTTGACAGTGTAATACCTATAGTTAGCATAGTGTTATTAAGAGGAAAGATTTTCAAGAATAATTGGATTAACTTTGCCACTATTTCTTGTCTTCCTGACTACAATAATTTCTACCTGTATCATTGATTTAATCTTTTTTTCCCAGGCAGAAAAAATATTTGTTCATGTTCTTCCTATAAAACATTGTTTCACTTTGAGGTTTGAGAATGTTGGCATTTAAGATGATGTGGTAGAAAATATTTATTGTGAATCTCAAGATGTAGGTTGGAGTCTCAGACTTATTTCCATAATGGTGTCAGAATCTGGGCTGTAGTCCATCAGTATTGTGTGTCTTCAAGATTATCCTGAAGACGCAAGAGAAAATGAATGAATATAATTTTAAACAGTGCTATCTACTTTGGAATATTATATTATACTCCATCTGAATACCTTAATGATGTCAATTATTTCGATGTTGGAGGTTTAGTGATATTGAAAGTAAGGGATATTATCATTAACAGCATTGATTTATACAGATATATACTTAACTCTTCTTTATTGCTGATTCTTCTTATACATTAAGTGATAATTATTCCATTCCTTGATTCTTCTCCACAGTGTAATACCTTTATTATTCATAACACTCTCAGTTTGTTTTAAAATTAAAGATAATAAAATATTTTATAGTATTATTTCATTTTAAAATGGGCCTTTTTCTTCTAATGTCAATAATTTTACTATTTATCTAATCATAAAGGTTTTTGGATGGCAAGCTGCTTGATATCAATAAAGATTTTCAACCATATTATGGGGAAGGAGGGCGCATTCTGCAGATCCGGACTCCAGAGGCAGTGACCAGCATTAAAAAGCGAGGAGAAAGTTTAGGATACACAGAAGGGGCTCTGTTGGCTCTGGCCTTCATCATCATCCTCTGCTGTATTCCTGCCATCTTGGTGGTCTTGGTCAGCTACAGACAGTAAGTATTCAAGGACACTAAACATGGATTGGTCTTTGAAGAGATACAAAAAAATCATCTCTTGTAATGTGGCTTTGTAATTGAAAAATATTGGTAATTCAGCCATTCTGGGATTGCTTTATCTTTTTTGAACCAAATAACCTTCCTCAAAAGGAAAACATTACAAGCTTTCCACAAGCTTCTCATGTATAGTTGAATGTCCCTGTGCTCCTAATATAATCTCATTCAGTAGGAGGATTAGCTTATTTCCTGTGGTTTTATTCATTCTTTGGATTAAATCCCTCCTGAGAGAAGCTCATAGGTATCCTAGAGAATAAACAATATAATGTTATATCCATATACCCACTTTACAAAGTTCCAAAGAAAGGTATGAAACCTCATTATATTGCCATAATAGGTTTTCAGCCATACGGCTAAATTTACCTCCATGCAGATGATGATAGTGTTAATAAAATCATAGCATATCACATGTGATTCTCCATGTGGTTTCTTCCTTCCTAGGTAGCCTTGATCTAACCTGTCTTATAATAGCTGGTAACATATTTTGACTGAGTAGTGCCTTAGTTTTCCATTTCCTACAGTCAAACTCTTCCATTTATAATATCTGTGCTTAAAAAATTATTTGACCTGGGCTGGGGATGTGGCTCAAGCGGTAGCACGCCTGCCTGGCATGCGTGGGGCACTGGGTTAGATCCTCAGCACCACATAAAAAATAAAATAAAGATGTTGTGTCCACCGAAAGCTGAAAAATAAATATTAAAGAATTCTCTCTCTCTCTTTTCTCTCTCTCTCTCTCTCTCTTTAAAAAAAATTATTTGACCCTTCAAAATAATCAAGTAATTATTACTATTTTAGATGTCTATAGTTAAGGCACACTAGCAATATCCTTGATTTGATATTAGGTATTGGAAACTTTGTGATTGATGCATACACATTTCAAATATATCTCTACTGAAAAAAAAATAGAAAGCTGGTCAAGAAGTTAGGTAACTCTGAGGGTGCTACAAAGAGAAAATAAATAACAGGCATCATGAATTATATAAATTACTTGATGTAACAAGTAGTAAGAAATAGTGGTAGAGCTGTTATTAATTACATAAAATGTTTACTGAAAAAGTCAATTCTCAAACGCTGAAAACTTCCTTCTGAATTGAGTATGGTAAGGTGATTTCAACTTGAAGTTGGAAAATCATGATCTACATGAAGATATTAGAGGAATATTTTCATCACAAAAACAATGTGAAGTTGCCAACATAATATTTAGGTTGATATATTGGAGCTTAATGTATCCTTAATATGTCAATCAATATACTAAATCTGAAGGTATGAACAAATGATACTGGGAAAATTATTTTAGATTATTAAGACACTAATCCAATATTAATTTTCAAGTTTATTCTGTATTGTTAGTTATCCTTTTTCATCCATCTGTTTCCCAAAGGAGCAATTTTATATCCTGATAGGAAAGAAAATTAATAAGAAAATTCTTATATTTGACATGCAATACAGCGATCAAAACTAAAGCATTCATGTGATATTATCAGCAGTCTGAAATTTAAAAAATTAAGATGCTTATACTTAAATGTTTTATAGATGATTATTTAATTCTCTTTTTAGTACACAATTATTTCAGTTATTACTTTTTTGTAGATTAACAGAATCTGAGTTTTGCTCTGCTGATATATCAAAGAAAAATTCTAACATATAAAGACCTAATGTTTGTACCTTCAAATTTTGCCTGTAAATAAGATAAAAATGGCTAGCTATTCTTTTATATTATGATGTGTCTTTGAAATTTGCTAGGTATAAAAAAGTACAAAGCAAAAATGATGAAAATTGTCATGAATTTGTTACTCTGCAGTTCCACCTTCCAATTTCAGCTTCAGCTTCAAAGTAAGGCCAAGAGTGTAATCAGTGCTTCCTGTAAGACTCACTTCATTCCTTTAATTTTCTTCAAGCTGAGTGAACCAACAAGTCAATTAGAAAGACCAGATCATCTTCAATTTTTCATTTCTGTTAGAATTGAAATTCACATCACTGTGTTTTAATCCAGTTTTTCCTATTCCATTTAGCTCATTTATTTATTTTCCTGTAATGAATATTTTAGCCTCTTTTATAACTGTAACAGTAATAATGAAGTGTTCCCCACTTTCATTTTTTGAACTGAAATCCTTAGTCTCCCTACCATGTCATTAACAGTCACTATGAGTTTAACCAGTAAATTATTCATGATTTAGAATAAATCATATGTTAAAATATTATGAGCACAATATCTCTAATATAGTTTTCTCTTTTTTCTTACTCATTGCTTTCCCAAACAGGTTTAAAGTGTAAGTATAATTATGGATATTTTACACATGATTTTATGTAATAGAAAAATAGAAACCATATATCATGTTGATCAAGTGGTCATCCTGTTCAAAACTATGTACTAATTATTTGACTGCCATTTATAATAGTTGTGCACTCTTTGGTTTGATATATATGGAATTGAGCTGATTTTAGAATTGGATATAACTGAAGTAAATATGAAATAGAGTGTTCTAATCATTTGTACCCTTTAGCAATATGTGCCAATAATAATAATAATAATAATAATAATAATAATAATAAAACAGTAATCCATCTCTAACACAAGAATCACAAGTATTCCTAAGAATAAAAAAAAAATACAACATCTAACCAAATCTCCCTTCTGTATGTGCACACCTCACAGACTCTGTGAAGTAATGTCAAAAGTATTTAAACAGTTTTTAAATAACTTTTCTCATAATAGATGAAAAATAAAGGAAAAATATCTTTTATATGCCTCATTTAATGAAGAGATCCATTAAACTTTTAATTATGCAATACATTTATAAAATTTATTTTTAAATTTTAATGGACATATAAAATTGTACATATTGATGGAGTTCCATTTATTGTTTTTTATATATACATATATTGTGTAATGTTGAATTCAGGGTAAGCTTATCTGTATTTTCAAACATATATAGTTTCTTTGTATAAAAACATTAAAAATCCTTTTTTTCCCTAGTTTTTCAAAATATACACTGCATTAGTGTTATCTATAGTCACCCTACTATGCAATCATACAATACTACAACTTATTTCCCTTAGCTGTAACTTTAAAATTATTACTTAATTTATCTTGCAAGTACTCCTATTAATTTTCCCCCTTCTTCAAGGAGCAAATATTTTAAAGAACTGAGGGACAATTATAGATCAGCAATATTTATGAGGATGCTTCTGTCACAGTATCATTTTATGAGTTCAAATAATTATGTAAAATATTATAAGTGGGCTCCTGTGATAACTGAACTTCATTATTAAGATAGCTTGCTAAAAAGCATATGATTTCTAAAATGAATTTTACAAAACAATTTTACTTTACCCAAGACGGCAAGCTGAATGCACCAAGACAGCACGAATTCAGTCTGCACTACCTGCAGCAAAGCCAGCAGCACCAGCGCCCGCTCCAATGGCAGCGCCTCCGCCACCCCCACCACCTCCAGGGGCACATCTCTATGAAGAACTTGGAGACAGCGCAATGTAAGTAGCCTTTCAGAAACTTTGAGAAGTAAATGGGTTTTGCTGGATATAGAGTGGTGTGTAATTCTAACCAGATGAAGAAATGCATTTTCAGTCTGTTGGACCGTTTATTTCATTTTTATATATAAACAGGAAAAAAAAAAGTTCAGAACCAAAGTTTAAAAGTAATAGCAAAAGAAAAAAAAATCTAAGAGAAAAGTAGCACTTGAGAAAACAATTATAAATTTATACTTAGGGTACTAATATTATATGGACTCTCTCAGTTGTCATGGTCATACAGACATCACCCCCTAAAAAAATCTGGGGAAAAAGTTTTTACACATGAGATGAAAAATTAAACAATCCTAAAACAGTAATTCCTTATTTGGGATCAAAACCAAACCCCCATTTTGTAATTGAAACTAAATTCTATAGTTTAAAATCATAGCCTTTTATAGGACACTATTTGGTGCCATTATATAAGATCTTAAGATCTGCATGAAATGAATCCATGTATTAAATGTCCAACTACATGCAGAAAATATTTTTCATTATATTATTCTTACTTTTATTTCATTGAGTAACTGTAGAATGGTCACCAGTCCACATTAACATAAATTCAAGAGTATTCTGGACTTCCTAATCTTGCAACAAACATTGTTTAGTAATATTGATTTTATAAGTAATATTGGCACAATTTTTCTTAAAAGTTTCACATAATAGTCACATCTCACCTTTTTGCAAAAACTTTGGCAGAAAATCTGACAATGTGTGGTGAAATACGGCAGATTGCTATGGTTGCTCAATATTTCTCCTATTCTATTTAGAATCTCCAAACAGTATTAAGTCATATCTTTAAAAAAGACAACTTAGTGTTAAAAGACCTAAAAGCTGTATCTGTCAAATGATTCTATTCATATAATCTGATTTTTTTGGTTATGTTTAACTTGTTTATATTTTTAAAATTCAAGAGTAATTCTTTGTAACGTTCTATAAAACTACCAAGCATATTTATAAATTTTTGCATACAGCTAAATTAAATTCAGAAACCCTTTTATTAACTAGAATTTGGTCAAGTAGAGGGACTGAAACATATCTCTATATTTGTAGCATTTACTAGTAGGAGTAAAGCAAGCCTTAAAAATAATGAAATTCACCTGTTAATTAGAAAAATGGTTTAAGCAGAGGTATTACTATTTGTTTGCTATATTAATAATTTTATACTAGATTCTGTCTAGTTTCAGTAATGTTAAAATTGTTATTAATGCTATTTTGACTAAAACTAAATTTAAAATTGTGTTTAATATGTGACATTCTATCTCTAAAATAATAATACAGTATGGGATATTTGCTTCAAATACATGTTTTCACTGTTTTTCGTAAGTTGAAAATGAGGGTCTTTTTTGAACTACTGGTGAATGTAGGAATTGAGCCAATATGATTTGATTCTCTTCAATCTCTTTAACCACCACTGCCAGCAACAACTTTAGAAAGAAAAAAAGCAGTATGTGTAAAGTTAAGTGTGTTTCTATATGATAAGAATGAATGGTATGTGTGAATTTTAACAAAGACAGGCATCTGAATTCAAAGTAGTTTCAAAATGGTGATTTCCAAGAAGCCACATTTGTGAACTATTTTTACTAGAAAAATTATAATAGATTTAGTAAAATATTTTGTAGTTATATGTGTTAAAATATTTTAAGTTCTTTGTATTTAATTTTCTTTAGGAAATGTTTAACTTATCTATTCAAAAACTTTAATAGGAATTCTAACGATAGGGTACTATAAAATAAACTGGCTCCAAGTGAATTATTTGAAATCATTTTTAAAAATAAAAAACATCAACTCATTTTGTAAATGTCTTCAATAAGTAATCAATAACTTCACATAGTTTAAATATTTGTTCTATAATAGTCATCATGGTACTTCTATGGTACATCATGGTACTTCAATTTCTCCCAAACAAAATGTATCTTCTTTATAAATCAGTGTGCATTAACCTATTTGTTAGAGTTAAGGCATAGCAATTTGTAGTCTCATTTAAAATTTCTATTTTAGGATAATAATTATTCATGTTTC